TTTATGGATTTGGTATCCTGCCTCAAATCATGTTTATTTATTTATTTATTTATTTATTTATTTATTTATTTATTTATGTTTTTGAGACAGGGTCTCCCTGTAGCTCCAGCTGGCCTGGAACTTGCTATGTAGACCAGGCTGGCCTCAAACTCAGAGATCTGCCTGCCTCTGCCTCCCAAGTGCTGGACTAAAGGCGTGCACTACCACTCCTGGCAAAGTTCATCACCTTTACCATGCTGAGGACTTACTAAGCTCCCTATTGCTTCTAAATCCAAACCTCAGCCTTATATTTCTGACTATAATTTAACCCTAGCTTGCTGTATATATTACTAAGCAAATATTATAAACTTTGCATTTTTTTGTTGTTGTTGTTTTGAGCCAGGGTCTCCCTGTAGTCCCAGCTGGCCTGGAGCTCGCTATGTAGACCAGGCTGGCCTTGAACTCACAGAGATCTGCCTGCCTCTGCCTCCCAAGTGCTGGGATTAAAGGCATTCACCACCACGCCCGGCCCAAGCCTTGTATTTTTTACATTTATTTATTTACTGTGTATGTGTTATGTGTATATGTGTGGGTACGAGCATGCATGCTTATTCTACATCCTTTTTCTCAGCAGCTTTTATTCTTTTTACAAAAATTTATTTGCTGGGCATGGTGGCATAAGCATGTGAGTTCAAGGTTAGCCTGGACTACATAGTGAGTTCCAGGCCAGATGGGGCTACAGGGAAACCCTGTCTTAGACCAAAAAAATTTATTTTAATTTTATGTGTGTGAATGTTTTGCCTGCATGTATGTAAGTGTATCACATGCCCAAAATGCCATTTAAGGCCTGAGGAGGGCATCAGATACCCTAGAACCAGAGTTACAGATGGTTGTAAGCCACCATGTGGGTGCTAGGAGCTGAACCTGAGTGCTCTGCACGAGCAGCCAGTGCTCTTAACTTCTGAGCCATCTCTCCAGCCCCAGTTCTTTTTATTCTTGTAGTCACTATTCTTCCTAATTACTTTCACTTTTTTTTTGTAAGTTCCTACCAATCAAAAGCTGACCTATTTAAGTTGTATCTAAAACACAATCAGGGCTGACAGTGTGGCTCAGCAGGTGAAAGCGTTTCTTACTCAAATCTGACCACCTGAGTTCAATACCTGGAACCCAGGGTGGAAGGAGAGCACCGAGTCCTGAAAGTTGTCTTCTAACATGCACTCTGTGGCACATGTGGGTATGCATACACATGATACATATGCACAAATAATAATTTTTTTTTGAGACAGGGTCTCCCTGTAGCCCCAGCTGGCCTGGAACTTACTATGTAGACCAGGCTGGCCTTGAACTCACAGAGATCTGCCTGCCTCTGCCTCCCAAGTGCTGGGATTAAAGGCATGTGCCACCACACCCAGCTTACAAATAAGAATTTTTAAAATCCCTTTAAAACACAATGAACTACTAAAACCTTCCAGATAATTCTACCCTATACAGATAATTTCTCCCTATGTTAACTAAAGCACTTTCCTGTGTCATATACTTCCAAACATGTATGTAATTTAACATTGTAACGTACCTTTTCATTGTGTTCAAGCTATTTCATAAATGTAAATCTGAGTTTTATAAATCCTTGAGGACAATAATAACATCATAGATCTGTTTTTCATTGGCATCGAATCCTCAGCAACCTTAGGTATAGATTATATACACAGTACTTACTGTTGAACTGAGATTTAAATATATCGAATATTCTCAGTGTTTTGTATATAGAATTAGTGTAAATCTCATTAGCCAAGTTGAGATGAATAACTGTATAGCAGAATTAATTATTTGTTTCTCTCCTCCACTGAAACCTGTTTTTTGTTCACTCCAGGTCACCAGCCCTGGGATCTATCTGGGTAAGAGAAGTCTTGTCCTCCTGCTCCCTAATCCCCATTTGACTCACTGGTTCCATTGTCACTGCCTTCATGGTTACAGGATGCTGATGGTCCACACCTTCTGTTTGAAGACTAATGGTAGTCTCTGGTGCTTCTGTTGTTACCTCCTTATCCGTCCTGTTCTGCCCTCAATAGGATTGGAAAACACAGAATTATCATCTCATTCAACATCCTCACAGATGCTCTATTTAGAGTTTTTCTCCCTCATCTACTTTCTTCTCTTCTCTCGAAAGCAAGCCCCCTCCCCTGCCCCCACGTAGCAAAAACTTAAGCCCATGCATGGATTATGTATATACCCCATTCAACAAATCCCTTGATTACCCCTCCTTCATGTATTGGTAACCTGCTGGGTTCCTTCTGCTCCTCCGCTATGGTTAAAGGTCTATATGGGATCCACTTCTCCTCATCTCCTGGTTTTCTTTCTCTCTTTTCTCTTCTTCCCTCCCTCTGTCTTCCTTCCCTTTCTTTCTTTCTTTCTTTCTTTCTTTCTTTCTTTCTTTCTTTCTTTTCTTTTCTTTTCTTTCTTTTTTTGGCTTTTTGAGACAGGGTCTCCCTGTAGCCCCAGCTGTCCTGGATTCACTATGGAGACCAGGCTGGTCACAGAGATCAGCCTGCCTCTGCCTCCCGAGTGCTGAGACTAAAGGCGTGTGCCCTTTCAGTTTATTTTTAACTGTTATTTATCCCGATCCTCTTAGGTATAAAAGTCACTCACCAACTTGTCCTCTGTCTCAAATATGGAGTAATCAATGGTGAAATTTACAGGAAAGTCATCTGGGGAAGAGAAAAAAAATTGAAAATGACAAAGAAAAAGGAACCCTAGATCCAGAAATGAAAGGGAAAGAAATTGCTCAGAATACTTCAGCTTATTCAAGTTGTAAAATTTGTTGGTACAATCTACGTCTAATTAAATTTAGTGTTAAAACTGTTTGTGAGGGGCTAGAGAGATGGCTCAGTGGTTAAGAACACTGGTTGTTCTTGCAGAAGACTTGGGTTTGAATCCCAGCACCCACATGGCAACTAACAACTGTCTGCAACTCCAGTCCCAGGGGATATGACAGTCTCCTCTGACCTCCTCAGGCATTGCAGGATATGGTGCACTTACCTACATGCAGAAAATACATGCATATACATAAAATAAAATTTTAAAAAACTGTTTGTGAATATGTATCCATTTATATTTGTCAATTTGGTATCCAAAATAATTTACAAATTTGAAAATTTCCAAATTGTTCCATTTCCCAAAGAATAAAAAAAATTCACGAGCTTTTGAGAAATAGCACCCTGAGTCTTGATATTTTTGTTTACATCCAAAATAGTGTCTGATCCCGCTGTTCTGTTGTGAAAGAAGGGTAATCTTAGAACTGAGTATTCCCCAGATCTCTTTGTGCCCCACTAAGGGTCAGAGCCTTTCACATACTCACCATAATTAGGAGTGACTGTGTAATAATAGGCCACTTGATAGTAATCACTCTCTTCTAGCTCTTCTTCCTTATATCCTTGTCCTACGGGGATAAGAACTATTGGTCAAGGAGCATCTGGAACACCTTAGCAATAGGTCATCCAGAGCTGATACAGCTCTGCTAGTTTTCCTTTCTGCCTCCTTTCCAAGGGTGTTATCTACCTGCCTCTGTACTTCTAAACCCTCTCAGTCTTCTGGCTCCCTGTCTATAATGAGGCTATGCGTTCAATCCAGGAATTCCTAGGACAGGAAACAAATCCCTTCACATACTCTAAGCCCAAAGGGAAAAGTAAACCTTAAAAAGGTAGAAAGAAGGCGGAGACCAGAAATTTAAAATATATGTATTCAGTATGCTCCAGAATTTATTATACTCTTAGGAGATCTTATTAGCATCTCTCACAAATAACTAACACTGTTAGGTTTTTGGATTTGATTTCATTCCAATTTAGTCTTGAACAGCCCATTTCACATCTGCTTTCTTAAAATGAATCAGCTGGACCAAATGACCCATAGCCGTTATTTTTTTCCCTTTACAAAACTAAAAATATGCAGCTTTGATGATTGAATCCAGAATTCAAAGCCATCTGCTAAACATATCCCTCCAACCCCAAACTAAGGACACAAGAATCTAGAGGAAAGGGAAACAGTGAGACATACCTGACAGGCTGGGGAACAAAAGAGGGAAGGAGCCAAGTCACTCTTGGGACTCTATCCCTGAAGACAGCCAGTTTCTACTATCCTAGAGCCAGCCCACATTTGTGTCTCTTTTGTTGTTGTTGTTGTTTTTTTGATAGAGTCTCATGTATCCCAGGCTGGTCTTAAATTCATTATGTTGTCAAGGACAACCTTGAATTTCTGATCCTTTTCCCCCCTATCTCCCAAGAGCTAGATTATAGGCCTGTGCCACCTAGCTTGGCTTCAACTAACAGAAGGTCTTCCCTTTCTCCTCTGTGGGGAGGAGGTACCTGGATTCTCTCACTAGTTTCACTGCCACAACTTTCATGAGCCCACCTCTCTCCATTACTCTTGGGGTCATCCTTCTTATCTTGCTTAACTTGGGGGTGATGGGAATCTGAGTTCAGTCCTGCTGAAGGACTGCCCTTTGGGCTCCGTCTTCCATAAGCCTTCTCTTCTTCAACAGGACTTTGCTTTTCCTTTGGTTTCCTGGCTCCATCTTCCAGATCTCTGCTTTGCCCCAACCCTGGACTCCAGCACAGATGAGAAAGCGCTATCACTCTCCACTGAAATGCCCACTTCCCCTCTCCTTATTTCTTTTCTCTCACCCCATTTATAGCAAAAGACCTGGCACAAAAGTCAGGCTTAGAAGTAGACTTACCCAGGATAAGTGGTGCAATAAAGAAGAACATAAAGAGGACATCCATTCTGGATTTTGCACTATCGCTGTAAAAGTAAAAAAGGAAATTACACGGTTTCCCACCACATTTACCCCGCCCCCTGAGCTTCTGTGAAGCTGGGAGGGAGCTGCAGAAACTCTTCTCCCAGGGGACAGAATTCCCTGCTTACTTGATTAACGACTACAGTCCTCAACAACAGCTGCTGGACTGAGAGAGGCAAACTTATTTTATGGATGTGAACTTCTTCTCGAGGGCCCCCAGCTCTAGATTAGGTCCACTCAGGATTCTCATTGCTGGGACCAGGTTTACCCTCTCCTGTCCTTTTCCTCTTTCCTCCTACTCCTCACAGAAAGTTCACCTCCAACCCCTCCACCCCTCATCCCCGTTTGCAAGCCCAAACTTACAGTTGCCATGCAGAGTTGCCTTTCTCCCTGAGACTTAATCATTGCCTCTTACATCATGGTGGAAATGATCAGAGGAAGGGGTGAGGGTTTTCTCTAGATTGTTGTCGGTTTTTTTTTTTTTTTTTTTTTTTTGGTCTTTTTGAAGCAGGGTCTCCCTGTAGCCCCAGCTGTCCTGGAACTCACTATGTAGACCAGGCTGGCCTTGAATTCACAGAGATCTGCCTGCCTCTGCCTCCTGAGTGCTAGGACTACAGGGGTGCACCACCACGCCTGGCATAGATTGTCAATGGTGGACAGGAACAATGTCTATCCACCATTGTTTGACTCCCAAAGCACCTGCTGTATTACTGCTGATAAAAAGTCTCATAGCCAATACTAGTTATTTTCTCTCCTGTTTGTGTTGACCTCACCTTTTCCCCCAACTGCTTGGACACAGGATGGAAGAAGAAGCAGATAGTGTTTTCCCTGTGGCAGGTACCATGCCTATCTCCCTTTCAGTTACTTGGTGCCTTCCTTTCATTCTGGCTTCCAGAGGTAGAGTTCTTATTGTTCTGTCTGTTACTACTTTATTTCTAGTTCTCATTCAATTCAGTTCAGAAGTGGTAATGTATATACTGGGCGTAGTAAGCTAGGTTCAGTCAGACCTCACCGACAAGAGGAAAAAGAAAAAGAACCCCCATCGCGTGGGTCAGAAAAAAGAAGTCAGATGACATTTGACTGCAAAATTTTTCTTTTCATTACTTTTTATTTTATGGGTATGAGTGTACTGCCTGCATACATGTGTGTGCACTGTGTCATCAGAAGGATGGTTCATAGCTGACTTGTGGGTGCTGGGAATTGAACCTGGGTCCTCTGCAAGAGCGGTAAGTGCTCTTAACCACTGAGCCATCTCTCCAGCCCCTGCAAAAACATTTCTAAACAAATAGACTAGCCTTCATTTAGGTATAAAGCTGTGAACTTCATAACTTTGTAAAGCAAGATGTAGAGCAAATATTAGAGGAAAATAAAGTACCCCCCCAAAAAACTCTCCATATAATTAATAAATACTTGCTAGCATTTACAATGAACCTGGGACTAAGCAATCCTGTGGAATCATGACAAACAAGGTAGGTTTGGAGCCTGCTCTCAGCTGTCAGAAGATGCTCTGCTAACAGCTCAAAGAGAGATGTCAGTTTCCCCTGACTTGGCCTGCTGGTCAGTAGGACACACTGGAATCTTGAGTACTGGTGAGGATGCTCCCATTCTTTCAAACCTTAGTGAGGAAAGGTGTGTCTCAGGACTTTTGGAGGAAAACTATATCTCAGCTTCTTTCCAGAACTTACTTTCCAGAAAAAGTATAAAATACGCATGTGAATATACTTAATTCTCTTTAAACATTTTTTTGTTGTTGTTGTTTGCTTTTTTCTGTTTTCTTGAGACAGGGTCTCTCTGTAGCCCCAGCTAGCCTGGAACTTGCTATGTAGACGAGGCTGGCCTCAGTCTCCAGGCTGGCCTCAGTCTCACACAGATCCAACTGCCTCTGCCTCCCAAGTGCTAGAATTAAAGGTGTGTGCCACCATGCCCAGATTTAAACAATTTCTATAGTTTGCTGTTGCTTTGATTACACTCTCAAAAACAATATTCCAGATTCACTCATTTTCCCATCCTAGAATTCTTTTGCCTAGGTATCCTCTGGTAGGACCAACCTGTCCTCCTCATACAAATGAAGATTCATTCCACTGTGAAATCCCTCTTCCCAGCTTGATGAAAAGACATCATTGAAGTTCGTTTTTCAGAATATAAATAGAGGAAGTCTGGTATCAAAGGGACTGAATGGGGGGAGGTGTCATTTCCCCCTTAGTCCCATTGCTGTAGTTGCTTTTTGACTCTATTCCTTCTAACTACTTTCTTAACATTTCATTCCAGGTTCCTCTTGCTTCTCTGATTCTGTCATTACAGATTACAGATGAAGGTTTCGTTTGAGAAATACTGTATTTCATACTTCCTATACTAGACTGTCCAAAGAGCTCCTGCTTTGAGTCCAACTTCCATCCCTTAGGGTGCTGCCTTGGCTCATTTCCTCTTATTCAAGTAAGAACAATGCCCATCCCTATCTCCCAACAACCCCATCCTGTTCTTTTTTTGAATTTGTATGAAGATTCAAACAGGATCTTCCCACTCTGAAGCCCTAGTTAAGACTGATACCACCCTGCCTGACAATGTTATGAAAGGAAGCTGTGGCCAAGGCGCAAGAGAACCAAGGAATCCGTGCTCTGATTGGGCCCAGTCTCGGCCCATTCTGTTTAAGCCACACCCAGGCCGAAGTCGAGGGCTCAGAGTTCTAGGAGACTACAACTCCCGGAAGGCCGTGCGGCCACACACACCCGCCTCTGCAACTCCGCCCCACGGAGTCTTCATCGGCCTTCTGGGGGTGGGGATTAGATGGGAGGTGGCCATGGGGCTGCGGCCGGGGGTTGTTCCCTCCTCGGCTTCCGTAGACGAGGTCGGGCGGACCTTCGTCTAGGGTTTTGGTGACCCCCCCCTTCCCCTTCCCTGGGGTCCGGGGGTGACATTGCACCGCGCCCCTCGTGGGGTTGCGTCGCCACCCCACACGGACTCCCCCACCTGGCGCGCTGCTTCCATTTGCCTCTCTTGACCCGGGCTCCATCCCGCCCCCAGCTGCCCAGTCATGGGGGCGGCAGTGTTTTTCGGATGCACTTTCGTAGCGTTTGGCCCAGCCTTCGCCCTTTTCTTGATCACTGTGGCTGGAGACCCGCTTCGTGTTATCATCCTGGTCGCGGGGTGAGTAGTGGGTCATGAAGACCCGGTAGGGCGTAGGAAAAAAGAGATGCGGAAAGGGCTGGAGGAACTGAGGCGAGCCTGGGAGCCTGAGTTGGGAGGCAGAAGTCGGGAAAGGTTCAAATTGTAGTCTGGGTGGTTTTCCCGCAGTCAGTTTCCGCCTTCCAGAGATCACACGGATACCTATCCTGTACGCCTCTGGGCAACGTCAGAGGAGGCCCAAGGCCGAGACTAGTCGGGAGGCTGTGGTGCTGACCTTAGCCATTAGCCAGCCGAGGATACGGGAATCCTTGCTCTTCCCGTCCGTGCCCGCGCACTTTGACTTTCCTCTTTCTGAAGGCTAATCAGATTTCTACCCCATCCGCTGGTTACAGATTCCTACAGATGATTCTGTTGGTGGAGACACCCTGTCTGGTCCCTGTCTCTCTGATCATCCGGAAGTCTAACTTCCACTTTTCATGCTGCAGCCTTGACTGGTTCCCTCCGTAATTTTTCTGGCTGCCCCTATCCGTACCTGTCTCAATGCCCTTGTGTTTTCTCAGGGCATTTTTTTGGCTGGTCTCCCTGCTCCTGGCCTCTGTGGTCTGGTTCATCTTGGTCCATGTGACTGACCGGTCAGATGCCCGGCTCCAGTATGGCCTCCTGATTTTTGGTGCTGCTGTTTCTGTCCTTCTACAGGAGGTGTTCCGCTTTGCCTACTACAAGCTACTTAAGTAAGAGCAAGAGGTGGTTTGGAAGGGAGAAGGGACAATGATTTGCACTGTGGGAAGCAGGCCAGCCCCTGGGTGATGGTGGGAATCAGAGGCACTAAAGGGGATGTTAGAGGGAAAGGAACATCCCTGCCCTCCCTTATATTTCCCCTATTCCATCCCAGGAAGGCAGATGAGGGCTTAGCATCGCTGAGTGAAGATGGAAGATCACCCATTTCCATCCGACAGATGGCCTATGGTGAGCCAAGGGAGGTGGACTAGAGGAGGGAGTTATCCCTTCCCCTAGGGTAATCTAAACATCCACATGTGCTAAGTGAGTTTCTTCATTTTTGACTTCAAGGAGAGGTGGTCTGGAGGGAGAGTAGGTATGGGAGAATTTTTTTCTGGGAATGGGGAGGGGGCGCTGGTAATGAGTGAGTTATAGTGATCTCTGACATTGATGACACCCCCCTCCCCCCCAGTTTCTGGTCTGTCCTTCGGTATCATCAGTGGTGTCTTCTCTGTTATCAATATCTTGGCTGATGCACTTGGGCCAGGTGTGGTTGGGATCCATGGAGACTCACCCTATTACTTCCTGACTTCAGGTAGGCTCACTTTCAATCTTGCCTTTATGTGGTATCCATCCCTGGCCCTGATCTGATTTATTGGCCTTTCCTGGGAGACTTCTCTGACTCAACATCTCAAGAGGCTGGGAGAAGATCAGGGATATATCTCAAACCCCATCTCTCTCCCTGCAGCCTTTCTGACAGCAGCCATTATCCTGCTCCATACCTTCTGGGGAGTTGTGTTCTTTGATGCCTGTGAGAGGAGACGGTACTGGGCTTTGGGCCTGGTGGTTGGGAGTCACCTACTGACATCAGGACTGGTGAGTTGGAGTTAGGGGCCTGGTTAGAGAGAAAAACATTTAATGGTGAGTGGGATGGGGGTATGTATTCTCACTTCTTAATATTTTTAACTTACCTTGGGTGGAGGCAGAAAAGTGAGTCTCTAGAGTTCTGTCACCTCAGCATCAGTTATGTCACCTGCTCTGGGGAGGAGTTTGAATTGCCTAGTCAAAATATAATGCAGAAGGCCTGAGGTGAGTAGGAGGGGCTGAAACCTTTGAGGGTATTGAAAATCAAAAATCCCTTTTAACTATAAGATGTTGGTGCTTTGAAGGGAAAGATAGGAATTTGAATGAGCTAGCTGGGGGAGGTTGGGTCAGAGGCACAAAGAGAATATGGGGATTAGATGGGGGGGAGAATCTAACCTCTTTTCTACCCTTATTTTTAGACATTCCTAAACCCTTGGTATGAGGCCAGCCTGCTGCCCATCTATGCAGTCACTGTTTCCATGGGGCTCTGGGCCTTTATCACAGCTGGAGGCTCCCTCCGAAGTGTCCAGCGCAGCCTTTCGTGTAAGGACTGACTACCTGGACTGATCGCCTGACAGATCCCACCTGCCTGTTCACTGCCCATGACTGAACCCAGCCCCAGCCCGGGTCCATTGCCCACATCCTCCGTCTCCTCGTTGATGTGTCCCGTCACCTTCTGGGTTATGCGTTGTCCATTTGTGACCTCTAGTCTCTAAGCTTTACCAGGAGCAGCCTGGGTGCAGCCAGTCAGGGACTGGTGGGTGTGAATCTGCACTTATCCCCACCACCTGGGGACCCCCTTGTTGTCCAGGCCTCCCCATGTGTCAGTGCTCTGCTCTCACCCTGCCCATGACTCACCCCCCTTCCCCTCTGCAGGCCGACGGCAGGAGGACAGTCGGGTGATGGTGTATTCTGCCCTGCGCATCCCACCCGAGGACTGAGGGAACATGGGGGGGGACCCCTGGGCCTGGGGTGCCCTCCCGATCTCCTCGCCCTGTATTTCTCCATCTCCAGTTCTGGACAGTGCAGGTTGCCAAGAGAAGGGACCTAGTTTAGCCATGGCCCTGGAGATGAAATTAATGGAGGCTCAAGGGTAGATGCTCTGAGTTTTCCAGTATCTCCTGCCCAGACTGGACATCTTGGTCTTTTTCTCAGGTCTGAAAGGAATCATTTTGGGTATGATAAAGACCCCAAACTGCCTTTTATTTTATTTTTTAAGTCGGGGGAGGGAGGAGGTATGTTGGAGCTCTTCTAACCTCCTTGGGCTACATTTTCCCTCCTTAAACTGCTGATCGTGGCTCATTTCTGTCCTCTTTCCCCTTGGTCCCTGGCCCTGGGGAGAAGGAAGGAAGTGCATGTTTGGGAACTGGTATTACTGGAACTAATGTTTTAACCTCCTTGACCATCAGCATCCCTCCTCTCCCCAAGGTGAAGTGGAGGGTGCTGTGGGGAGTTTGCGTACTCCATGGCAGTGCCCCTGGAGAAGTCAAACTACCATGACATCACAAGGCAGGAGGGCAGATTTTTTTCTAGTTTTTAAATCTGGGTATGGGAGGGGTGGGGAGATTTTCTATCAACTGTATCATTTTTCTGCTGAGGGTGGAGTATACCATCCTTTTAATCAAGGTGATTGTGATTTTGATTAATAAAAAAAGAACTTTATAATTGTGGGGGAACTTGGCTTTTAAGGGAGGGGAAAACATTGAGACTTCTACCTTCCCATGGCTCTTGTCCATCTTCCTTCCTAACCTGGCAACTACTGATCTCCATTGATAGCTTTGGTGCAATGGCAGAAAGATGGTCCTGTGGTTTAACTTGTGGGAACTTTGGGTTAAGTATTTTCCTGTCCAGGGATAGGATAAAAGGACTTAATCCCCTAGACTTCTTTTTCCCTATCCTTTGCCCATCTCTACCACCTGAAGGATTAAGGAACTCTCTCGCCCTTGAAAGCCACAAAAGACAGGCCAGAATTAAAGTCAGAAACTTTAATTTCCATATATATTGAGCAAAAAATAATCACCCTAGCAGCAGCCTTTTTTCCTAAAGGGAAACCCTGCAGTATATGCAGGGGAGGGTCTTAAAGGTGTGAAGAGAGAATGTTGGGGCATACCAACTTCCTCTACAAAGAAATGTTAAAATGGGGATCTCCTGCTCTCCCAAGTGCTTTGAAAGGCTCTGCTCTTCTAGGAGAACTGGATCCTTTTTCTCTGAGAGGGGAACAGGGGGGTTGTCTAGAAGGGCAGGCATCTGCCTACAAACACCTAGCAGTATTTTCTAACCAGTTCTTGCACTCTTTGAGAGGCTCCCTGACAGATCTGAGCAGATGGCATCCATGGTGTCCTAAGATGGAATTTATGCCTCCGTGGTGGCACGTGCTGAGGTGAACACCACACTCTTCCGGTTTCCCAGCCTCTTCTTCCTGGAAAGGGAAATGTTGGTTCATGGGAGTGACTACCATCCTAAAGGAAAGTTTGGGGTGGAATAGAAGAATGATTTTTTTTTTTTAACTTGATAACTATCTGATCTTGACCTTGAACTTGTGGTTCTACTGCCTCCACTTCCTGAATTATAAGTGTGTGACACCATGTCAGATTTTATTTGGTGTTTGGATCAAACCCAGGATTTTGTGCATGCGAGGAAGCATGTTCATCAACTGAGTTATATCTTTTTTTGGGGGGGGGTCTTTTTGAGACAGGGTCTCCCTGTAGCCCCATCTGGCCTGGAACTCACCATGTAGACCAGGCTGGCCTTGAACTCAGATCTGCCTGCCTCCCAAATGTTGGGACTAAAGGCGTGGGCTACCAAGCCCGGCTTCTACCCTGAAAATACTTTTTTACTGAAAAAGTACTGCAGGAATAGAAAATAGGACCTTACCTAATTTTTCGAGCGATGAAATAAACAGCCAGCAGAAGGCAGAGGCAACCAACCAAGATTCCCACACCTAGACCCAGCATTTCTCCTGGGGGAGATAAAGATAGCCCAGTCAGACAGGCACTGAGCCTTTCTACCATTGCTGGAGATCCACACCCCTCTCCAGTTCCTGGGTATGGCTATCTTACCTGTGGTATACAAGGGTCTCACTGCAGAAGAAGAAAACTTGGGTTAGTGGAATTTCAGAACCTTCCATCTAGGAACAAAGCTGTGCCTGGGAAAATGACCTGGGCATCCAGGGATGGGGTGGTTTGCAATCTAAGGATGTTCTAGGAACCCCTTTTCTTTCCTCACTAGTCCTGCCTTTGAGTTCCTTAGTTTCCCATCTCTTCTGAGCCTTGTAAATCACCTTCGAAAGAAGCAAAGATGGTCCGCTGATTGAGAGGCTGGGGGTCTCTGTAGTTCTGGACGAGGGGCTCAGGTGGCTCCCCTTCAGTAGAGGACAGTGTCTCCTGAAGTTTTTCTAGCTGTGGGGCAGAAGAATGGGAGAAGTCACTTTGGAGGATGTTCAAGGGTCTGAAGTTAAAACTATCTTGCCGGGTGTGGTGGTGCACACCTTTAATCCCAGCACTCAGGAGGCAGAGGCAGGTGGATCTCTGTGAGTTCAAGGCCAACCTGGTCTACATAGTGAGTTCCAGGACAGCTGGGGCTAGAGGGAGACCCTGTCTCAAAAAAGACCAAAAAAAAGACCAACAACAAAAAAAACCCCACTGTCTCGTCACCTCTCTACTACTCACCTGTCCCATAGAAATCTGGGCCCTTCGATTGAAGACTGTCCAGAGTACACTCTGGTAGCAGGGGGGAGTTGTGAGTGAGCCATTATAACGGAAGAACTGCTCCAGCTGTTGAGGAAGCAGGTCTCTCACATTGAAGGGAGGCACTGAAGTCTTCTGGTCTGGGGAGAACAGGAGACTCAGAGCCTACCTAGATAGGGTTTACCCTAACCAGAACCCATAGGTTCTAACTGCCTCAGGCTTTGAAAGGTTCTCTGAAGTCTGATTTTTCCTCCTACTATTGGTGTTTAGGGCTCACCTTTATGTCTTATTTCATGCAAATGACTCAGAATGTAGTCATAAGCTGGATTTTCAGTCTCAGCCACCTGGAAAGGGAGAGTACAGTATGTGTTTGGAGTAAGACAATGTATTGAGTAAATACTAGGTGAGTTGCTGTCTGCCTTGGGAGGGAGGCCAGCCACAGAACAGACCTAAGGGACATAGAAGTAGACAGACCTGTGAGGGGTTGGGGTTACTGACCTCAATTAAGATGCCCAGGACAGCCAAGCCCTGAGGCTTCTGAGCAGCCTCACTCAAGCTGCTGTAGGACTCAGAGTCATAATGGACCACATGGAGCTGAGGGGAGGAAGAGGGAACCAAGTCACTCAATACTTGTCTCCTTCCAAGGCTTTGACTGTAGCTACCACCTCAGTCCCCAGCAGGCCCTAAGTCTCTGCCCCAAAGCTTGGACTAATTTCTTCAATATAAATTTTCAAGGATCCAGATCCTCTTTCCAAGGTTGACCAAACCATGTCATCTATGTCCTAGTCCCAGTTCTTTGATCCCTGGTACCTCTGCAGCTGTGGCTTCACTGTTGATCTGGTGCTCAGATCCCTCCAAGGATCCTTTCTGACCCCAGTGCAGGTGTAGCTGGGCAGCTACATATTTTCGGGACAGTCCACCCAGATGCAGGGTAGAGGGGAGAGAGAGTTGCACTGAGGAAAAGAGCAAGGTAGGATTGGTGGAGGAATGTTGGCCTTTCCTAACCTTAATTACCAGCATCTGGGAGACTTGGCCTTTTTCCTCCTTCCTTCCCCAGTATACCTAGCTCCTCTCATAGGCTGATGCTTTTCTAAAAGATCTCCCCTCTTTTTGGTGATGATCAGTCAGTGCTATGACCTAACCTGCACATTGAACTTGATTCATAGACATTCAATCCCACCTTGGCTACAGCCTTTTGAGACTGGGTCTCAATATGTTGTCTGGTTGGCCTGGAACTTACTGTGTAGGCCAGGTTGGCCTCAAACTCAGATCTGCCTGACTCTGTCTGCCAAGTGCTAGGATTAAAGGCATGCGCCATCAAGCTTGGTCCCTGGTCCCCATTCTTAAGTCCAAATTCAGTAATGGAGCTTTCTGAGTTTTACGAGTTATGAGAGTGTTACCCCTGACTTGTAAGATTTGAACTGGAGTCTGTAGTTCTTCGGAGTAGGAGCTTTTACCTGTGTGGCCATTATTGTGCAGGTCCAAAGGCTCAGTACCAGGCTGGTCATATCCATGGTGCTGCACAGCAGGCAAATCAGGGTTAAATATCACACTGTCTGTCTGGATATCAATGGGAGACTGGGCATTGCCTCCACACTCAGGGTAAGAGGCTGGCCAGTGGTCCTGACCATGTGGACCTGGTGGGAGAAGTTACCATGGACATTTGTCTTGCTCAGCCCCAACCACGCTTTAATACCCACCAAGTTATGGACGTAGAAATACACCTTCCTCTACCCAGTTGAGTAGGTCAGGGTGAGATAGGAGTCCCCACTGCACTTTAGGCTGCAGCTCCCATTGCCTCCCCAGAAGCAAGGATGGTTCTCCAACTACCCTAGGAAGTGGGAGAGTGGTAGGTAGCTGTACTGCTTACCAGTAGTTTGAGAACAAGGAAGCTGGATGAGGGGAAGAAGAGATAGATAGAAAGCCTGAATACCCAGAGAAGTAGAATGGGTGAGTAGGGAAAAAAATGACCCTAGACAAATGCAGTGTCTTTGGGGCCCCTATCTAGTGGTTTTGGGGTTCAGATATCCTTTTTATCATTCACTTCTTCCTCTCACATTGGACTGCATTGGCTCCAGATAGGTCATTAATGAAAAGTTCAAAGAGATTGAGTTCCACCTTCCCCAGAGTCACAAACTATCCTGCCAGCCTCTTCCTCTTGACCTCAAGCTCTGTCCAACTTCAGAGGCAGATGGGGATAGATCAGGATAAAGAGAACCAGGAGAGTGGAAGCTAAGCACAGGACTCCTTTCCCCACCCAGTTCTCTCTCTGTTTCAACTGCTTTGTTCCCATACAGATTTACTGTGGACTTGGTTGGCTTTTATGCTGAAACAAGATATATGGGATTTAATGATTAGAGCAGAGACTAGCTGTCACATATTCAAAAACCCAGGGTGGAGCGGGGCGTGGTGGCATATGCCTGGAATCCCAGCACTCTGGAGGCAGAGGCAGGCAGATCCCTGTGACTTCGAGGCTATCCTGGTCTACAAAGTGAGTTCCATGCCAGCTGGGGCTATAGGAAGACTCTGTCTCAAAAATGCAAAAAAAAAAAAAAAAAAAAAAAAAAAAAAAAAAAAAAAAAAAAAAACCCAAAAAACAAAAATCAAAAACCCAAACCAAACCAAAACAAAACCCAAAGTGTAAGGGAGATGAGGAAGAGAAAGGTTAGGATTCAAAGCTAAGGGAAACTTCTTCTCTCACAGGACAAATCTTCCTGCCAGGTGAGGAGGTCCTAGGATGAAAGGGGTGCCCCTGCTGACCTGGAGTTAGGCTCTCACCTTCATATGTCCAGTGATGACCTGTAAGGCAGAGTGATTTGGGTTATGGCCAGAGCAGCCTGGGGCAGCACGCTGGCCTCTACCCTCCCCTCCCTCCAGCACTCCCCCTCCTTTCTGCTTTCCTCCTCCACTCCAGGACTTCCCAAAGGAAGCCTTGAAACTGGACACCTTGGTGGAAAGGTCGGGGGTCTATTTAAAATTACCAGCAGGCTATGCTTATGCTTACTGAGTAAAGGGGGAGGAGGAATGAAAAGCGATAAAGCCCTAAGACTAAAATTAACCTGGATCCAAATGTGCAGTCGGCCCAACCCTTTTCTCCAGCTTGGGCCAAGTCAATCTAAGCCTTGGAAGATGGGGTGGGGTAGAGTGACGGTGTAGGCAGAAGGTTTGGAGGACAGGGACTCAGAAGGAAAGAAGTTCAGTGTGTGGAGGTGCTACTGAAGGGCTGATTATTCCTTTGCCTTGATTCACTGCATGAATGAAGGCACAGAGCTCTAGAATAATATTTAAATTCATCCTTTTTGGCCCTACTAGCCCTGGAGGAAGCTCATGCCCCCATCCATGAGCCTATGCTCCTGCATTCCCAGAAGGCTCAGGAAGGGCAGGAGTCAGGGAAGGGTCTAGTCTAGATTGAGGGTGGTGGGTGGGCACAGGCAGCCAAGCTGGCAAGGATGAAAGTGAAGCATTGTGTGTGGAGAGGAGAGCTGCCAGCCAGGTCACATGCCAGGCTCTCATGCAGTTCTGTCTGACTAAAAGGCTGGGGGGTCCTCTGGTCTACACTCCCCTCCATGGCTAAACTGCTTCAAGGTGAAAAGGGGGTGGGGGTTTCCATGCAGATTACCACTAAAATATTTAAATTACTGCAAACTAGAGAAAAATTCTCAATTCCTTTTCTTCTTTATTAGTCCTTTGTTCTGTATGTTTGAGACAAGGTCTTGCTAATGTAGTCTGGGCTGGCCTGGTATTCACTAAGTGTTCAGGCTGACTTCCAACTTGAGACAGTCCTGCCTCAGCATAATGAATGCTGGGATTACAAGTGTGTGCTACAATGCCTAGCTTCTCTACTATTCCTTTAAATACTCAGAGTTTTAAGATGTTTTGGATCTCATCCTTGGTTTGGTCTACTGGTTCATTCCCCAGCCCAGGCAACTCTGACAAGCAGCAACTCAAGGGAAGGCTGGAGGTACCCTCTCACTCACTAGCTCTATGGGATACCCCAGTTCCTGGTTCTGTGAAGATGCCTTCCCTTTCCATTAAATGCTCCACTGTTTCTAAACTTCTTCCTCCATTTTCCTTGTTTCTTCTCAGATGAAATTTGTAATTCACCATTTGGATAACCTTGGTCCCATCTTCTTGTGTCCTCCTGTTGTCTAGACACCTCTCCCCCACCTTGTTCTTCTAAGAAACCTTAACCTCATGCTGGATACTGCAACGAGGCATGGTAAGCACAAAAAAATGAAGTGTAGGAGCCAGACATGGTGATGCACTTGGGAGGCAGGAGGATCAGGAGTTCAAGGCTGCCTCAGTTACATAGTCAGTATGAGACAAGCCTGGCTACATGAGATCCTGTCTCAAAAACAAAATAAAGCAAACAAACAAAAATAGAGGTGAAGGAATCATTAAGAAACTCCAGGGCATGGTGGTGCCTTAGTCCCAGTATTTGGGAGGCAGAGGTAGGCAGATCTCTGTGAGTTCAAGGCCAGTCTGGTCTGCACAGTGAATTCCAGGCCAGCCAGGGCTACAAGGAGACCCTATCTCAAAAGACTAAAAAAAAAAAAGAAACTCCAGGAACACAGTGGGTCATTCTCCCAAGAGCCTTCCCCTATTTCCCTTAAGGTCTTTTGTATACTGGAAAGGACCCATCAAATGTCTATTATTGCATTACTTTCAAGGAAATGGGCAAATTAATCAAATGCTCCATGGAATCAAAAGGGGACCTTGAGCTGGGCGTGGTGGTGCATGCTTTTAATCCCAGCACTGGGGAGGGAGAACAGATGGATCTCTGCAAGTTTGAGGCCCAGCCTGGTCTACATAGAGAGTTCCAGGTCAGCCAGTCCTATATAGTGAGCCGCTATCTCAAAAAAAAAAAAAAAAAAAAAAAAAAAAAAAAGAAAAGAAAAGGGTACCTTGACAGGCAGTGAGATGATTGGATGATGGGCTAGAAATCAGCTTCTGAGTCTGGGCAGACAAATAGCATATGCTCTTTCCCACCCCTATTTGACTCTTTAACCAGCAGAGCTCATAAACAAAGGCCAGGAGGGCTGCTTCAGACTAGGGCAGTGGTGAGGAGCTCGGCAGAGAACTATAGCCTGCGAAGAGATTCCTGCACTTCTGTTCTATCACACACCAACCTCCTGCTAGTTCTCCGCGATAGGCAGTAACAGTAGCAACAGCAGGGCTAGTGAGGAAAAGAGCAAGAGGGAGACTGAGCTCCATTCTCCATCACCCACCCAAGTCTGTTTTCTCATGCTCTACGCTTCCCTTTACAGCTCTCCTCCCCCAGTTAAGTACACAAGGCAACATGTGACCATTAGCACAGACCCACATACACACATTAATTTTACCTACCCCCATCTGCAGTCAGGATCCAAGTCACCTTTAACAGGAGAGCGAAGAGCAACATAATATCCCCAGGATGGGGCACAGGGAACCAGGAATTTCGGGTGGGGGGGAGAAGGAGGAGAAGAGAGGGGGTATATCTATCTATCTATCTATCTATCTATCTATCTATCTATCTATCTATCATCTATCTACCTATCATCTATCTATCTATCTATCTTCCTGCAGTCTGTTTCAGCAGGCTTCCATGGGATTTGATTTTCAACAGGGTCCCACGAATTTCTGGATCCCAGGATAAAATCTTGCTGCTTCTCTTTCTCCAGGCCCTCTTATTTCCCTCTGCAGTCTCTACTTTCCGGCCAGCAACTTTACAATTGCCTCCCGCTTTTAAGGTGGCTCTGGACCCGTGTACGTGAGGAGGGGGTGGTGCCTGGGCTGTTGGCGAACAGCTCCTTAAATAGCCGATTAGGCATGCAGGATGGCCCTGCACAGCCGGAGCGCGCGTTTCACCGGGAGTCCTGGCCCTGGCTCAGAAGCCCAGCTGGAGTGAGCGCTTCTTTCTTTGCTGTTCACACAGCCAACCACTCAGATGGGTGTCCCCTGGTTGCTGTCTGGGGCAGGCAAAGGGGGTGGGGCTTTGCATCCCTCCAGCCAGGACACTGTGTTCTCCTTTGCCTTTGAGGAGCACCTCTCTGGGTGGTGTGGACAGCTGGTGGGGAACCTGTGTGCAAACCCCAGAGAGCATGGGCTGGCTGGCACCAAAGAGTCCAGACTTGGGAGATACAGAACAGAGGCAGGTGCTCAGGGTGCAGGTGGGGTGGAAAGACAAAGTCTAAATTAACCTGGGTGGTGGAGAAGTGAGGCGAGGAGAACTTGTCTTCAGTGCTGCCTTTCTCCTGTGCCTGTCACCACCCCCTTCCTCGGGTGAGGGCTGGGTCCACGTGCTTGTGTGGCCTGGGGTGGGGGGGGGCGGTTTTGTTTGCTGTATAAAGCTCATTTGTGTGCACAGCGGGGGAGGGGTTGTCACAGCACCATAGAGAGACAGCCGCTCTAACTGCCAGACCCAGCCACCTCCCTCCCCGGGGAGCCCAGATCTAGGACGCCTTTTGTCACTGAAGAGGACACTGACCTCTAGCAGAGAGGCCGGGACAGAAGGAGTGATGGGTGACTGTAGAAACAATTACTTGTCACCATCAGAAAAAGGCGGACTCCAGATAAAGAAGGGGAGGGACCTGAGAGAGGCCATGTGACCAAGTGGACGAGGGGCCCAGGGGCTTCCCTCCTGTCTAACAAAGGGTTGAGGCAGGTCCAGTGGGACCGAATGAAACCTGTCGCCGTGGAGTTGGGCCAGTGGACCATGAAGGCTGTGCGGAGTCTCAGGAATGTGCTGGTGTGCGCTCCCCCACGGGACTAGAAATCCGGATTGGAATGTACACCCTAAATCCCTCATTAGAGACTGGGAAAACCGCAGATCGTTTCAAGCTAGACATTGAAATCTTTCTCCTCTCTCCATACCTTCCACTCACTAGCCGGAGGGATGCATGGGTTTGAGCTCTTTTTGCCTTCCTTGCTCCTACCAAGTAGCAATAAATAGCCAAAACAAAGGGAGCAGAAGCTAAATAAGGACACAGGATAAAAACCAACCGAACAGAAAAATGCATGTGCTGGGTCACCAGCTCCTGCGGAGACAGACGCTCCCCACTTTTCTGCCCTGCGACAGCTGCAGAGCAAAGCCGTTTTCGGATGATCTTTCCTTTTTCATTCTCTCATCACTTTGTGAATTCTTCCTCCTAAAGAGAAGTTTCTGTGCTGGAGTTCCCCAGCCACCTCGTCTGGGAAAAATAAAAGGTGCAAAGTGTAAACTAAGACTTCTTCGGAATCAGGAAGGTTAACACAGAGTGGTAGGGGGAGAAAAAGAAAAAAGAAAGAGACATATTTCACATAGTAGAAAAGAGGCGTTTGGGACAGAATGACCACGGTCAAGACCCAGCTCCCAGGAGCATAGGGGCAGATTCCACCTCCCAAAGCAGGTAGTGTTTCGCCAGGCGCCACCTCCTGGCTTGTCTGTGAACTTCATTTTAAAAGGTCTGGTTCCTTATGGGCTGTGATCACTGCCGGTGGGCTTTGTTTGGGACATGGCTAACGCCATTGAAATTTGCTTTATAGAAAATGTTTTAGCCCCAGTCAACACTTTCTATTCCCGAGTGAACAGCCTCTCCGGAAGCTCGGATTGCCCCCCTCCTCCCCCAAAGCCCCTGGTTCTAGGAAAGAGGGAGAAAGCACTGTCGTATGGATTCCACTTTATTTTGATTTTTGGCTTTACTGTGAATACTTCAGTTGTTGCTTTCTAGCTGTGCGGATATGTTATAAAAAATGTTAATATGTTAAAAAATGTTTATATGTTAGTATATGTTAAAAAAGAAAGAAAGAAAGAAAGAAAGAAAGAAAGAAAGAAAGAAAAAAGAAAGAGAACAGAAATGTGGCCGTGTTGTCCCCTCCCCCTTAGCCTCCACTCAAAGCCAGGGAGCTTTGTTTCTGTTTTGCCTCGCTCCTCTCCGGCCCTCTTCTCACCCTGCCCGCACTTCGCTAAAAGCCCACCCAAACTGACATTCCATTGCCTTATGGCGCCACCTCCTGTCCTTGCAAACGCAGTGAAACATGAATGTCAGAATCAAAAGTTTTCAAGTGTAGCTTTTTGTCTTTTCTTAAAGGGTCTTAACTTAGAATTAAACTCACTACCTTAGAATGTTCCTGCTCTGCTCTGAGTTTGTGTGGTGAGCTAATGGGAGTTCAATAAAAGAGAAGGGCAGATTAAAAACAACAACAATCAGTGAGGAGACAGAATTAGATGGAATTAGAATTTTCTAGAAAAGTTAACAAAAAAAGAAAAGCTAATGACATTTTGCTGTGAAGTATAACATAAAGGTAAATTCTAATTTGATAAGTGATCACATGTCAGAAGATGCTTGACTTCTGACACATTTGTTCTCAAGCCTTGTAAGCTAACAGGAAAATGTTTAAAATCAAAGTTAAAAACTGAGGGGGTTGGGGAGGGCAGTCAGGTGATCAGAATTCTCTGGCTGGTTCTTTCAGTTTTCCAGTCACCTTGCACAATAGATGAGGGATGCTGGCTGAGAATCTTGTAGACAGAGGACAGGTAAATTTGTGTGGTCTGAAATATTGCAGGGTTTTTTTTTTTTTTTTTTGAGGCAGGGTCTTCCTGTAACCCCAGCTGTCCTCCAACTCACTATGTAGACCAGACCAGGCTGGCCTTGAACTCACAGAGATCTGCCTGCCTCTGCTTCCCGAGTGCTGGGATTAAAGGCATGTGCCATCATGCCTGGCAATATTGCAGGTTTTTTTTAATTAAAAAAAAAATGTAAGCGGGGCGTGGCAGCCCAAGCCTTTAGTCCCAGCACTCAGGAGGCAGAGGATCTCTGTGAGTTTGAGGCTAGCTTGGTCTACATAGCAAGTTCCAGGCCAGCTGGGGCTATGGGGAGATACTATCTCAAAAAGGACTAAAAAAAAGAAAGAAAACATTGTGTCATGAATTGATTCCCTGCACAGAACACTGCCAGATACATGAATGCTTGCAGATTAAATGAATTAATCTGGTTATTGGAATATTTATTAATTTCCATCTTGCCTCTGATATTGCACAGAATTTTAGACCAGCAAGGCTCTTAGGCATCTTGCCAAACTCCTTGTTCCACCGTGGGGAGAATGAATTTTGAGAGATTTGAGGATTCAGCTGTAACTGGTGAGAGAGCTGCTAGGCCAAACCAGAAAGAGGACTCAGGTTCCATCCGCGTTCCTGTACACCATTGGCCCCTTAAACATTGGTGTGCATCAGAGTTGTCTGCAAAGCTTATTAAAATACAGATTTCTGACCCCCACCCTCACAGTTCCTGATTAGGTAGGTCTAGAGTATGTCCAGAAGTTTCTTTTTCTTTTTCTTTTTTTACACATTTATTTATTTTATGTATATGTACACTTCTCTTGGTGCACATATGTCACAGTGCATGTGTAGAGGTCAAAGAACAACTTGTGGGAATTGGTTCTCTCCTTCCAACAGGTGGGTCCAGGGGATTGAATGTAGTAAGTCCTCAGGCTTGACAGCATGCACTCTGATCCATTGAACTTGAAGTGTCTCACTGGCCCCAGAGATTTGCATTGCTCCCCAGGTGATGTTAATAGTCTACAGGGCTTCACCTAAGAACATCTGCCCCATACTAAGTAGAAGAAGGAGTGGCAAGATTGCCATTCTTTTTTTCTTTTCTCTCTCTCTTTTTTTTTTTTTTGACAGGGTCTCCCTGAAGCCCCAGCTGGCCTGGATCTTGCTATGTAGACCAGGCTGGCCTGGAACTCACAGAGATCCATTTGCCTCTGCCTGGGATTAAAGGTGTGCACCACCAGCCACGCTATTCTTTGTAGAGATTACAACCATCAAATTCACTCTTTGGAGTCCCCATTTTCTCTGAGGTTAGCAATAAGTCCTTTGCTACTTTGCACGCTATTTTAAGTACTTCTGGGTACTGAATACTGTATCATGACCTAGAAATACAAAAATGAGTAAGACATAATCTTTGCCTTAAAGTACTTCCAAATTGCTCAGAGATACAGACTTTATTGTTTCTAGACTGGAATAAATAGTGGTAGAGCAAAATGTGAGTGAAAACAAAGTGGGGCTGGGGGGTGACAAGTACTGAACTTGTCTTACCTGCCAGGAGTCTTTTCACAGGATGGTAACATGGCCAGCATACTTAAACTAGGCCCTATAGTTATACATAACAACTGCCACTTCAAGGCAGGCAAGTGTCTGCATCATCGTGTCTGAGAAAAACACCAAAGGATAGGCTATGGCAAAGGGGACCCTCCTTAATCTATGCAGCAAATGACTTCTTGTAGAAGCTCTGGATGGTAATGATCTTCTGTTTGTTCTGGTGTCCAACTCATTTTGCCTGTCTTTTCCATTTCCTTTTTATCCTTTTGCCATCATCTCATTCAAGGCTGGGCACCAACCCTAACAAAAGACATTAATAACATGCTCACCATGTCCCTTGGACAGTGAGAAATAGCCCTCTCTCCCTCTCCCTCCTCTTCCTCCTCTCCCTTCCCTTTCTCCTCTCTCTCCCCCCTCCCTCCCCCCTTCCCTCTCTCCAGGGCCCCATGTAACATGGACACAAACTCCCTATGTAGCTGAGGCTAGCCTTCAATTCTTGATCCTCCTGCCTCTACCTCCTAAGCATGTGGATTTCAGATGTGCGCTTTTGTGCCTGGTCAGAACTTTTTTTAAAAAATTACATGTAGGTGTCTGTCTATGGGTATGAGCACATGTGGGTGAATGCCCATGGGGGTCAGAGATGTTGGATGCCCCTGGAGCTGGAGCTAGAGTTGGTTGTGAGCTGCCTGACATGAGTTCTGGGATTGGAACTCAGATGGATCCTCTGCTGAGCCATTGCCAAAACCTTTTTTTTTTTTTTTCTTTTTGTTCTTTTTGAGACAGGGTCTCCATGTAGCCCCTGCTGGCCTGGAACTCACTGTGTAAATCAGGCTGGCCTCAAACTCACAGAGATCTGCCTGCCTCTGCCTGCCTCCCCAGTACTGGAACTAAAGGCATGCACCACCATGCCCGGCCCCTGAAACCTTTTAATTTAATTTAAATTTTGTTATTTTGAGACACTGTCTTACTCTGTAGTCCAGGTGGGCCTGGGATGCACTAGGTAGCCCAGGCTGGACTTGAGCTTGCAGCAATCTTCCTGCCTTATTGCCTTATCCTCAGTCTCCTAAGTGTTGGTATTACAGGTCTAAGGCACCATGTCTGGCTGAGAAA